TAGAGATGTTACATGTACATGCTTCTCAATATATTTTCTTTATTTTAGGGATATGACTATTGACTAAAATGGAAGCCTAAAAATAGAAAGCGTCCACCCGTTCCAGGTGTTAAAAAATAGCTTAATGTTATTGTGTGTTAAATGTTAATGTTGTGTTAAAAGTAAAAAGTTGAGTTAATTACAAAAATAACTCATAACAAATGACATGGTGAATATTTCAGTTAACTTTGTAATTAGGAGTAGGCTGCTGTGTTGACAAAGTTTGCCCATAATTTAATACAAAATTAAAATCAGCCAAAGTGAAAGAAAAAATGGGTAAGTTTTGCTTTTTGCATTTAAAATTCCATCTAATTTTGAATTTGGATACTTTTTCCCTGTTTTTTATTAAGCACAAGTACAGTTGCTTTAACTGTGTCCTCTCTGTTCATAACACAGATTTAAGAGGGACGCGTTCATCAGGTCTCTCTAGGATAGAAAAACATTCTACAGTAGGAAAGAACTGTGAAATAAAATGGAGATTTCTCCACTGTAAAATCAGTTTTATCGCTGTTCAGTATGTACATTCCCACTAAACATTATAAGCTAAAGAACACGGTAAACTGGAGGCTTCATCGGAGGTACCCCTTAAGTGTTAAGTCTGTTGAAATACATTTACACAGGGCGCCCTTGGAGCCTGCAGCCACACCCCCCACCGGGCAAATCATCTGTGGAGAGAGCAGGAGCGAGGAAGCCACGAGCCTGTAGCGCAGGGAGAGAAAAGCCAGCCCAGACAGGTGAAGAGTGGGGACTTCAGGGATTTGTGTGTGCTAAGAAAACAAACTCATCAAGGGCCAGATCAAGTGCTTGGCTTATCTTTGTGCTTGTTACTTTATTAAAACAGCAGATTTTACTAACCATCTTATACACACACACAAGGTTTTTAAATTTTTTTCTGCTATATACATTTAAATGTTTATGTACAAAATTTTTTGCAAAGGAAAGAAATAAGGCACGTGGCTCTTAAACAGCAAGAGACCTGCAAGGATGGCCTTGAATAACTCTTTTTATAGTGCAGATATAGACATATTATGTAATCAAACTGCTATATTGGAGTGATATTTTAGTACATTATACTCTTAGGTTTGTGAGGAATTGGGGTTTAATTGTTGTACTCCACTTTTCTGTGAAACATGCTGCCAGCTGCTGTACAGACCTGCAGTGGAAATGAAACCAGATCCTCTGAGAGCCCAGCCCATCCTTACTGCAGGACCACGAACAGTGCAGGACCTCTAGGCCCCAGTGCAATAGTGGAAAATCCAACGGCAGGTCAGAAATACTTCCAAACATATAGTGGCTTGTTAAGTGCTGCTGTTTTTCATTGAAGAGAGAAAACAGCTTTACACTTTGATTGTAAGGCATATCCTTTGTTACATGTGGAACTTTCATAAAGGGAGAACAAAAGAGTGATTGTACTACTAGATTACCCAAACCCTGACAGAACAACTCAGCTACCCTTCAACAGTTATGACCCCCCCAGGTCAATAGCAATTTAAGGATGGTACACTCCCACCCTGCTGTAAGCTGGCCATGCATTATCACTAATGGGATATAAAGTAAAAGTCAAAGGGACGTCTCTCAGGATTCCACAGTAGTCTTCACTGCAGACAATTAAGAAAAGTTGATTACATTGTAATGCTGTTTTAAAGTGAAGTGAATGTTCATTCACTCTTTTGACGAGGCTGGTGCCGAAGATCGCTAGCCACAGCTGAACTGTTTTAATTAGCCATATGGTTGAAAACAAAAGACAGGACAGATTAGTGGCTAAGGCACTGGGCACCTGTACCTGAGGTCTTTGGGTTCAAGTTCTAGGTGGGACACTTGTTTTCCCTCACTACAATCTGGAATACTTCTGTTCTAAAATGAAGTACTGAATAGATACTAGAAAAATAATTCAAAGCATTTTAAGTTGTCCTGGTTGTGTCTGTAAAGGCAAAAAATAGTGTTGTGTGATGCAGTTTACTACAGTGGGTATTGTATAAAGAATTTTAAGAGTACCCCTGAACAGTTTAGGGAAGGAGGGAGACATACCAAGTGAGAGGGCAAAATAAACCCATCAATTTTTATTTACTTTTTCATGCCGACTTTTATTAGGTCGGTTGCTGCTTTGATTTGTTGTCTTTCTTTTTCCAATAAACCCCAGTTCCCTCTGGCTCTCCTATATTCATTATTCTATGCAGAAATAATATTCCTTGCTACCTGGAAAAAATGATAACAGTCTCTTACATTATTGATTTTGTGGGACTGTTGAGACTTTTAAGATGCAAAGACGAATGGAAAAAATAATACTGTAACATTAACCACAGGGGTTTCCAGGAATATATTGAACAAATCCCTGAATTAACTCTCTGTGTCTCACAATGAACACTTGCATGCTATGTACTACACTTACCAAGTATGTTTGGCCATCTAGTATGTTCACACCAGATAGTATGGGTAGTGTAGTATTGTTGACAATACACAGATGTCATGCTACAGTTGCTGCCAAAAGAAATGTGCATCGGCTATAAACTATCCATGAAGTATTTCGCATTTCCTATCCTAAAATGCATTGCAAAATAAAATTGGACAGGGAGTTAAAAAAATGAAAAAAATAATGGTGGAAAATTTTAATGGTTGTGTGAAGTCAGTATGCAACCAGCTGTATAGCGAATAACCGTTAATAGCACATTTGTTATTGGTATTACACTAACATTGATCATTTGATATACTGTCACGTAACATGCCAGTTGTACCTATTATGAGAGCAAAATACTGTACCTAGCTAGTTAGCCTCTGCTGTAGCTAACCTCAGAGTTTTTTCATTTAGAGTTCTGACAGATGTATTTAAACAATTGATGCATACTGTGTACTTGCGTACTTATTGATGTGTACTAAAAGATTTACTAAACAGTTCATACTATTCAGCTTTGTATACAGTATGATAGTATGTGTTTTGGGATGCAACCACTGTCTCCTTCAGTGGAGAATATTATCTCAAGAGGGCCTTGCCAAGTCCCTGAAAACCATGATATTTTTGCAATGTTACTGGACAGTAGTCCAGTGACTGAGGACTCATTCACCTTAAGAAACACAGAACCTTAGTTAAGTGTCACAGATGTAGTTGTGTGATCTTAGCAATTTGATGTTTGAGCATAGAGATTGCATTTTGGCTGCAACTGATTCTTGGGTTAAAGCCAGTCAAACACTAAAACACCCACACTCACCCTCTGGCCTCACCCCAATCTGGTATAACCCTGAACTCACAATTGACAGTTAACCATTCATATTTCCAATCTGGAGTGGGGGAGAGAACTGCAGGAGGGGGATGGCTCACCTGGGGACAGAAGGGAAACAATTGTAACCTTTGTCTTCAAAAATATCTGTACTATTAAGTAGTTTATAACAGCATGAGAATAAATGTCCAATGGGGTTGTATGGACCAATAAATCCCCTTGTGTGGTCTGAGGATTATCAAGGCAGTAGGTGCACAACCGTGATTGTGCATCTGAGTAATGTCACAGCCAGAGATTTAAAGTCACTCATTTGGGTCTGCAAATGTGTCACTGTTAACTATCTGCATAAGTTGCTGTTGCAGTGTTTTCTAAATGTCATTTAAGATGACTACATGTGTAAAGAAGCTGGGACATCTACAGTTTGTACAACCCTGCAAATGCTCTCTGTTGCTGGATTATGAACCAGGGAGATTAGGTCACCAAGTGGCCACTAATCTAATATCGTCCAGTAGTTCCCTTCAGAGCTACTGGACGATATCCCTAAAGAATATAAAACAGTGGAGAAACATGGCCACAATCTGGACTCATATTTCATACCTGTACCTTTAATTGTAGTGCACAAAATAATTTTGAATAAAAATGAGAAGTACCCTAGTCATTTTGCTAAGGTAGCTGTGCCACTAACTAGACCTAGCAGCAATGTACAAATTATGTCATGTTTACCCAGCAACAGAACCTCTGTGAATCGAGTTAATCATTGCAGAGTACATTGAGTTCTGTCTCACCTCTTATATGAAGACATTACATTACATTTACATTTATTCATTTGGCTGACACTTTTATCCAAAGCGACTTACAAGTGAGGCATAGCAGATTTGTGAGAGAAAAACATCTTCTGTGTTCATGTGATGGGGAGCCCAGATGTTCCTCTAACATTGATAACCATTCTGAAAAACCGAGGTGATATATTCAGGCAAAAAATGTTTGTAAAGCTCATCTAATCTTGTCTAAAACCATCTAGTCCCAGAGGTTCTTGAAGAGTCAGTGGGCATCTAAAGTAGAAGAGGTATGTTTTGTTAAGACGGGGAGGTCAACATTATTTAGAAAAGAGTTTATAGTGTTTGTTTGAGTGCTCCAGTTTGTATAGGGAGGATGGCCATGGGGGTGAGCATCCTTGCTTGCCACACAAGAGAGTGTAGTTTTGTTCTCTGATGGACATTTTAAAATACCTTTGTCTTTGGCCACTCAACCTGCAGTGGCAGGCAAAAGGCTGCGTCCCACTGTCTTGCTCAGACAGCACCACAATTTCTATTCACAGGGGCAGTCATTCTGGAAGCAGTCAACACGGGGGCTTTCCTAGCTACCTGGATGCCTTTTCTGCAGCATGTACAGAGCGAACTAACATTTTCCCCTCCTACTTCTTGAAAGGTTCGTTGCAGTGGAAGGACCCATCTATGGTCATACTTGCTGGGTCATGGGGATATCAAAGCTGCAGACTGCATTGTGAAAGGGGGAACTGTATCTTACGTATGTTCCGGAACGGTTTCGGAGGGAACACTGGCAAAAACTGATGTCGTAGTCGGCAGGATTTGAACCTGCGCGGGGAAACCCCAATGGATTTCTAGTCCATCGCCTTAACCACTCGGCCACAACTACCCATGCCCCTCCTGAAGTGGTCAAGCAGCTCTGTGAACCTTTTTCTTTGCAAGCAAGTCTGAAAAGCTACTGAGCTGAGCAACATTAAAGGAATGTCAGAAGTAGGATTCAAACCCACACCTCCAGAGGAGACTGTGACCTAAACACAGTGCCTTAGACCACTCAGCCATCCAGACTGGCAAGCTTAAGTAAGGGTGCTTGAATCAATGAATACAGGGAGGAGAGGACCTATACTAGTCAGAAATTGCTTCAATATCATTCTAGATGCCTTTTCTGCAGAATGTACAGAGCAAGGTAACATTTTGCCCTCTGACCTCTTGAAGGGTATGTTGCATTGGAAGGACCCATCAACGGTCACACTTGCTGGGTTGTGGGGATATATAAGCTGCAGACTGCATCGTGAAAGGGGAACTGTAACTTGCGTATGTTCTGGATGGTTTTCGGGGGCCAAAGGGACACTGGCAAAAACTGACTTTGTAGTCGGCAGGATTCAAACCTGCACAGGGAAACCCTTAGCCACTCAGCCACAACTACCCATGCCTGTTGCTCAATGGTCAGGCAGCTCTGTGAACATTTTTCTTTGTAAGCAAGTGTGAAAAGCTACAGCATTGGTAAAAAAGCTGTGAGAAGTGGGTTTCAAACCTTGTCCCATAGTGCCCTTTTGTGTTTTTTGTTGTAATACCAGTTTTGATTGTTTGAGATTTCAGTATTTCTAGCTTTAACAATTAAAATAATCATTTAAAAAATCCACACAAGGCAATAAAGAGCTGCATACAATTTAAGGTTTGCAGATTGTCTTCCCCTGGGATACACTGTTTCTAGCACTGTGCCAAGCCCAGTCTTGAACACCTCAAGGTTCTGTTTCCACTATGATTCCTGCCTCAGCAACACCTTTTACCATTATATTATATCAGTTGTTAAGTTCACTTGACTCTACCACCCGCATTTAAAAAGTCGTCCTCATTTACCACCACTTGTTTTCTGAACAGATTATTACTGGACAACACATTCATGAGCAATAATATCAATGTACGCCAAAGTGAAATTGTACCCTGTGCATCCATAGAAAAGAACAGATGTTTGGCTGATGTCTTCCCTATCCCTGAAGAATTTGTCAGAAGATACAGTACAGTTATGTCTTCTCACATGGATAGTTTTAATGATCAAGGGAAAGGGAAAAAATCTTTACCCTCTGGGTGATTCTGCTATCTGCATTCCCGTCCATTCATTTGAAAGCATACTTTTAAGCAATCTTAAATCCTTCAAGATCCATTAATAGTCTTAAAATACTCACAAGTCAAACTTCATGTCAGAGGTTTTGAATTTGTTTCCCAAAGCAAAATGTCCTTCAATCAAAAGAGAACTCGCACACCAATATTGCCGATACAGAAGAGTAAATGGCAATTTTAATGCATCAAGAAAAGTGAAAAGAGCAAAACGTTTTCGGTCCCATTCAGACCATCATCAGTGCAAAAAAAGCAAAATGTAAAATAAATAGCATTGTAAGGCATCAATACGGGCCAGAATGATAAGGTAGGCTTTAGATGAGTGTTGTATTGCTGTTATCTAGTGTATGTAGTGGTAAAAGAGACAGCTTTTTATAGTAATGGGCTGTGGTTTATAACCTTTTTTTTTTAATTTTCCTTGTTTCAGACAAGGGGTCTTCCCATAGCAGTGTGAAAGACATCGGTGGTTTGGATTCTCCCAAACAAGCTCCAGAAAATCTTTTGAGACTCGTGGAGTCACCATCCCCGATCAACATGTGTGACCATGATGAGGGTGAGGATGTGGAGCCTCAGCTCAGTCTGGAGGATGTGTTCACCTTCTCCTCCCGCCCACACTCTGCAAGGCGCGGACAAGGACACCCTAATCCCATGGAAGGCTTCACGTCATCCCCTGGCATGTGGGGTGAGGGGGATGGGGCATGCAGGGGTGCCAGGTTGGAAGATGATTTCTATGGCAGTGAAAGTGAAGAGGTATGTGTCATGGTTCCCCACACTGACCTTTGTATTCACACACATGGAAAGCAGCAAAAACCCAGTTTACTGCTCACTAGCTACAGGTCATCTTCTACTTATATATCTGTCTATATATGTAGCTTAACGAGTTTAAATGTATGGCTTGTATGTTTAAGTTGAATGACAAAGCAGCAACATCACACTTACATACTGAAGATTTATCAAGATGTTCTTTGATCACGTCATGCAACTGTATATTGTTTGTATAGTGCTAATGCTTGCATTTCAAAGGTCATACAATGTCTGCACAACAATTAAGCTTTCATCTAAAATGTCCTTCAGTAAATTCAGTGGAGTACTTTATGACCCACATTCGTAAAATCCCCTCCTGGTTTTTCCTTGTTCCCTCCACACTCATATGAAGAATTGCATATGTGTCACAATACAAAGGAGCAGGTGTTGCTATCGAAGAGAAACAGTTTATATTTATTACAGTTGGTTTTGTAATACAACGTACAGTGCCTTGCCAAAGTATTCAGACCCTTCACATTTTAGTATTAAATTCCCACACATTAATGTAGGTGGTAGAGCCACCCTTTGCTGCAATAACAGCTTTAAATCTTTTGGGGTAAGTATCTACCAGCTGTGCACACTGTTAGGGAGTGATTTTACCCATTCTTGGCAGATTTGCTCCAGGTTAAGGTTCTGAGTTAAGGGAACCGATACCGGCTCATGAGCCACTCATCCTCATGTGATAAGAAGTCCGACCACTCTCTGAATGCATCATTACTTATTTAAACTATCACACTGCTTATGGTGGGAGTGCTATCACATTAAATTAAACACATTCTGCAATGTCCAGACTTTTTATGACTCTAATTTGAGCCAATGCATTATGGTAATACCTTATTTCTTTACTTCATTATGGAACAATTCTCCTGTGGAGCAACAATTTGTTGATATGTTGTTTGATTTGGATCATAAATATAAAAGTGAGTAAATGAGTCATTTACAGATTTGAAAATGTCTGTTGCATGTCTGCAATACACCTGTTCAGCCACAGGAATGTTCATACAGATGGTTTGAATAGAGGTTCACACATTCTCATGTCAAGTTTACTGTTTATAAAACAGAATGTTGGCATAGATTTCTGTGTATGCGCAATTCATGATAACGATTTATGATGATAAAGCTTACATGCTTTATAAATAATGCCCCAGGAGTGACCCACTTTCAGCCACACTTATCTACACCTGACTGTAAAGAGCCTTGCAATTGGAAGTAATAAAGCTTGGTATGGATCATTAGGCTTTTTTGACCAATTTCCACATAGGTGATGGAAGAAAAAAACATAATGGTAGAATAACCAGACAGGAGAGAGATTTGTTTTATTTTGTGCTGTTATTTGAAAATATGTGTTGAAAAATGCCCATGTGGGCTTACCTTTCCAGCCTGTCTAACTTAGAAGGGAGTGCATAATGAGTCCATGGAGTGACAAGGTATGAAAACTGATTTGAATAGAAAAAATACATCCACACTACATCACCCTGACATGGTCTTATTAAAATGCCAAAATGCTAACTGTAGAAAGTAAAAAAACACAGTTCTAGCCTTAGCCAACAGAATATTTTGAGGTAAGTCTTTTTCAGCACATTTACATGCTGTGACCTTTTGTTCAAGGTGTCTAAAGTGGAATCTATTCCTGGAAGAGACTGCTGCCAAGAGATTGCACTGGCTCTTCTTGCTCATTGATCTCTTGAACCTGAGCAAGGTCACAGCCATTGACATTTCACTAGCTGTTTTGGAATACCCATGGCTACAGAACTGTGATGAAAAATGCATTCATGGTTTAAAATAAGGAAATACAGAAAAGCATAAAATGAATTGTGGGATTGGGGGTGACTAGGCAGTGACAAATATGCCTGATCAGCAGTTTGCATTCATTAGTATCTGAACAGAGCTGTCTGCTTTAAAGGCATAACTTCTGAGGCTGATAATGAGCATCTCTACTTACTTTGCTGTCTGATTTAATTTCAAGTTGCTTTTGACATAATTCCACTCCAGAGTTGCCCGTCATATCTCACTTCGTTAAAAATGTGTTAGTGAGCCCATACATGTTTAATATGTTACAAGTTTGGATTTTTTCATATTAGATTGCTGGTTTCAAAGTATTGCATCAGCTCCTTATATGCCCTTTTTTTGGTTTTCCTGACATTGCCATGACAGACAATTCAAAAACATGTCTTTATAAAGCAACACCTGTGATGTTCACTTTCAAAATGAAAATGTGAAATTTCACATCTTTTTAGCAACTTACAGACAAGTGACTTTTGGTTGTGCCATTTCTGAGTTTCTTGAATTTTAATTTAAAGAGGTATAACCTCTTGAGAATGCATTACTGAAAATGTGCGAAAATGAATAATTTGTATTTTACCCTTTTTACCCTTGGGTCAAGAAAAAGAAAACCTTCTCAGCTTACATGTAAAGATGCATGTAAAAAATACATAAATTTGACAATAACTGATAAAAGATTTTTCAAATACTATTATTTCTTTGTTTTTTAGTTGTTTAAGAGTTAATATTTTGCTTTTAAAATCATGAAACATGTACAGCTATGAAAGATTGGAAATAAAAACACACACATATAGACAGAAAGGCATACATATACATATAGAATAAGTGTTCACAGTTTACCTCAAATTTCAATACTTAAAAAGTTACTGTTTTCTTTTCTTTGTTGATGTACACAGTTTTGTACTGGTGCAAATTATTTCAAAACTTTTAGGCTCATATTAATTAAATGAATCCATGAATGCAAACTTTAGCAACTAATTGAAGCCATAGCCTACCTAACCGTTAGTGTTGCAAGGATAGTGAATTTGGGATTCAAATCTTCACATGAAAGTAGCAATCAATTTGCTTCATGTTAGTAGTGAACAAACTAAAGATTTATAAAGTAAGCTTTTTAAAATAAGACTATATTATTCACACAGCAGTTGTATTCCATGCATTTAAGAATTACAGTTTTTCTTATATACATATACATTTCTGATGCTGCCATTATTACTACACTGCTGAGTGGGCACCTATATACAGTTTATTTCTTTAGAAGAAAATTGACTGAAGCAATTAAATATCCAAGCAATTAAATATGCAACAATGGTATCCCATTTCAGATTCAAACTTAATACATTCTGACTCTAAGTCTAAGGACTAAC